AGTGCCTGGCTTAAATTCCTTAAAACAACCATTATTTCCCAAGTTTAAATTCTCAAAGCAGTCTGGCATGCCTCCAAAATTTGTAAGCTTAAAGGCTATGTTAGAGAAACAACTTGTTAAAAATCCATATCCTTCTTAGAGGCAGTAGAAGGAGAAACTGTGACTTCTCCCTGCACAGTCATATGAGATCTGAATAAAGCACTGAACAAGAAAATAATGGAATACAAAAATAGGCATTTGTCTTTGTCATAGATTCAGGTCATTGTTCAAAGAATCACATGCACATATAGGGCCATTTGTAGAGAAGATCCTCTCTGCAGCAAAGAAAACAACACTGCCTCCCACATGATCTTGATATGTTTCTTAAAAATTAGGATAGAATTTAGAATTGGTCTTTTTACAGCATTTTGTAAAAAAAAAAAAAAAAAGAAGTAATGTGATGGGCTAAAATATTTACTAAAGAATTTTGCTTTATTATTGTGTGTAAATCATTGTTAGAGATTTTGTGTTGCATTTTTCAGCAGTGTGTATGCTCTTCCACATCACTGCCTTGTGGGTGGGTGATATGAGTAATCTGAAGTCCTCGATATAAATGTGATGTCACTCACTAAAGACAATCTGTGGGTTCAACACTGTCTGTATAAATATGCCATATATGTGTGTACATGCATAGCCCAAATTTCCCTGTGTGCTGCAGCTCAATAGGTGGCTATATTTGTTTCTACAGTTGTGTTATTTCTGTAATTTGAGCATTCCAGAAATAATTAGGAAAATATTTTATCTGTTGATATTTTAGGTTAACATAGTTTGTTAACCCAAATAAAACTTTTTTTTTTTTTTCCAAGCAGGAATTGGATCCAATTTGGATCAATTATATGAAAGAAGCTTTTTTTACCATGAGGCTTGGCATAACTTGAACCCAAAATACCAGGTTATTACGTGATCTCTTCAATATGAGTATTTTTGCTGTATCAAAACTGGACCAGATTGCCAAGAGAAGCTGTGGCTGCCCCATCCCTGGAAGTCTTCAGAGCCAGGTTGGATGGGGCTCTGAGCAACCTGGTCTAGTGGAAAGTGTCCCTGCCCATGGCAGGGGTTTGGAACTACATGATCTTTAAGGTCCTTTCCAACCCAAACCATTCTTTGGTACCATTCCAGTGCCATTCCAGTCAGAAACCTCAATAAGAATAAAGGTTTGAGTGCCATTTCTTAAGGAATATTTGTTGACTTTAAGCTGTTTAAGGAGGTAAAATATAAATATTCAAGCTTTTACATACATTACATTTTCCTCCAAAGACTTACCGCAGGGTTTCTTACTTGTGATTTTTGGCTTTTGTTTTCCTAGATAGCTTACCTCTTTTAAAATGGACAGTATTATTTAGGTAGCCTTTAAGGAAAAGGTTTAATGAATATTTGCAGTTAATCTTAAAACTCTCTGAAGAACTGAATAAAAATACAATTGATTTTATGTAAGACTTCTGGTTTTAATTTTAAAGTTATGTTTACCAGATAAAACTTTAAATGGGTGGAAATCAGTCTGACTTATCTGTATACAATGTTTTATTTGAGAACATGTGAATATAAAGAGGGTTTAAATTCACCTGAGGGTGTATTTGATAAGGCTTTCTTGGATGAATTTTCCTGTGACAACCCGAATACAGAGGGTTGTATAAATGCAAAAAGGTGTGTGCGAAATCTGTGTAAGAATCTCAGGGAAAAAACCTCCAAATACTTTTCATAACTGTTAGATAGAATGGAGTGACACTGGATGTCATGAAATCAGCAGGGACAATAACTAAAAATTTGTCTTTCCAAGGGAGCAGTGGCACAAAGCAGTGATGTGTCCTGTATAAAACATTTATTTTAATGTGACCTTGCTCAGATTTATTACCAAGCACAAGCAATAAGGAATGTAGTGCATTCCTGTAGCAGTGAACTTGTTGGGGTGAGTCCAGAAGTCAACCACAAAGATGCTCTGAGGGCTAGAGCACCTCTGCTGTGGAAACAAGCTGGAAGAGCTGGGTTGGTTCAGCCTGGAGAAGAAAAGTCTCTGAGAACACCTTGGAAGCACCTTTTAGTACCTACAGGAGAGCTGGAGAGGGCCTTTTGACAAGAGTATGTAGGGACAGGACAAAGGCAATGGCTTTAAACTAAAAGAGAGTAGGTTTAGGTTAGCTGTTAGGAAGAAATTCTTGACTGTGAGGGTGGTGAGGCACTGGCATGGGTTTCCCAGAGAATCTGTGGATGCCCCATCCCTGAAGGGATCAAGGCCTGGTTGGATGGGACTTCGAGCAACCTGCTCTTGTGGAAGTTGTCCATTCCCACAGCAGGGGCATTGGAACAATATTTTAAGGACCCTTCCAACCCAAACTGTTCTGTGGTTCCACTAATGGTGTGAAACGTGGGACACGTTTCTCTGGAGCATATATTGTGGTGCTCCCACCAACCCCCTTTGCTGAGACGATTTAGCTCACGACATCCAGCAGAAGGCTAACTTGGCCCAAACCCAACCCTCGACTCATGCGTGAGGTAACGCTGTGATGTGGGAGCCCGGTTTTCCCTGGATTAGCGAGCTCAGTGGGTCGGGGGCTCCATCCGCCCCCAGGCTGGGTGAGGGCAAAGGAGAGGCTGTGAGGGCGTGAGGGAGCCGCGTCCTGCCCCTCACAGGAGCGCGGGCTGCAGGACCCTTCGCCTCCCTCCCCCTGTAACTCCCGATCGGCTTTCCAGCAGGAACAGGACGTTTCTGCCTTCCCCCCACAGGGCTCTTTCCCGGCTGCGGCGCCTCACGGAGGGCGCCTGCGCTGCCCCCGCGTTCCAGGAGGCCGGGCCGCGCCTGCGCTGGCGGCGGAGCCGGGGCCATGTTCGGCCGCGGAGCCGCCGCTCGCCTCAGCCATGTCCGGCGGGCAGCGGCGCCCGGGCGGCGGGGACCCGGCCGGGCTGCGCAGGTGGGAGCGGCCGTGGGGGTCGGAGGGGCCCGGGGCTGGCGGGCATCGCTGCCTTGGGGCGCCGCTGGAGCTCCCGCGGTT